TTGTGCAAAATAACAACTGGGCATCTAAATGCCCTAAAAAATTTACTAGAATAATTCACTCTTTCACATACTGTGATTAAGAGTACAGAATTGTAAATTGAGCTTTTCGATTTTTCATGTTTTAATTTAAGACCACCCAGTGTAATATTTTTACAATATTTAAGTGGGCTAAAGAATCACACTTTGAAAAATTACATACAAATTTTTAAGAATTTTGTTTTTAAGACTACAAACTCTCCCAAGTACTTAACACATAGTTAACACATTTAATAAATATTAATTTAGTAAGCGTTCGATGAACAATTTATTTTACTATTGAATTTATAAATTGTTAGCTGATACCACAGAATGGGGTCTTCACTGGTGGGGCACGAAAGGGTGCCATCATTCGGAGGTGCTTCTTTCGGCGTGCACTAGCGGATTCTCCGCATAGTTGATATGGGTAAACAGTAGCCGGATTCGCGCTGTACCCGAGTGGGTTATCTCTGCCCCACTCAGTTCCCTTGGAATCTACAATCTATAAATGTAGCTGATACCTTAAGATTAAACGCTTCATGGTTTCTTTTAGATTATTAAACAAATTTTCTTATAAACATCTGAGAATTTTTAATTTTCAGAATTTGTTCTTAATTTTTCTTCAGCGAAAAAAATCGTAATTACTTCTATTAATTCCGTTTTTTCATCTTACATAACCATTGGATCTTATAACACTTCTTATTATACTTAAATATACCATTGGTTCTTATTTGGTTCCTAAAAGTAGGCAATGGTACATATTAATAATAGGATAATTTTTGATGTAATGTTGTTTTGTTTCATTTGATCTCTGTCTATATAATAATTTTGATTGCCAAAAAACGGAATGTTTTATCATTTAAGGGAATTAATTCAATATTTTCAAGTCTAAAATTCGTTAAACCTTAAATTCAAGGATTGGTTCTTCCCTTGTTTTCTTTTTTAATTGTAGTTATTAAAATTGATGTTTACTCTTCAGATCTTTTTAAGGTTTCTTTTCTCTTATTAAAAATTTCAGGTATCAAAGTACACAAAAGCTTAAAAAATGAATGTTGTGATTTTGGGCCAAAAATTATAATTAAAATTAAAAATTCTTTTGGATTGCCTTTTTTAAGGCAAAAAGGATTTTATAAGTCGTGGTAAAATCTGTAAATATTAATTAAAAATTGAAAAATAAATTTAAGAAAATAAATTTTTAAAATGTTAACTATAAAATATTTAAAAATTTATTAAGGCACCGTGAGGGTTCTAAAATTTTCTTTTGTGGATTTTTTTTTTGTTAAAATGTGTTTAATCAAAGACAATCTTTGATAAAATTAAAAATCAAAAAATTGTTAAAAGTTTTAAATTTTTAATATTATTGGTACTTAAAGTTCTCAGAACAGAAAATTTGAAAAATATTTTGATGATGAAAAAGAAAAATTTTAATGCAAAATAATCCCCTGGATTTCCCTAAACGCTTCTGAATGCTCCTGCCAAAATGATTTTAACATAAACTTTTTTTTCCCTAATTTCTTTTTATTTTTTGATTAATTCTCCAGTAGATATACACAAAAATATATGATGCACGATACACAGGGTGATTGAAATTTTGTTTATCGCAAATTTTCAATGAAACATGACAAAATTGAACGAAAGGAAGCAATTGTTATTAAATCGTATTTGTATCATGTCGAACTGCTTCGCTGCCTCTGTTTTATGACACAAAACTTAAGTCTTACGAAATTATTTACGAAAGAGTGAAAAAAAGGTAAAAACACGTACTAATTTTTATTTCATATTCATTGTGCTTTTATATTCATATTTCTATTCTTATTGTATGAAGTTTTAATTTTCAAGGATTAAATTAAAACGGTAGAAAAAATGGTCCTTATTAAAAAAGTAAAAAATAATTTTTGGCTTAAAAACATTCAATAAATACTTTTGCAAAAAATTTATTAATTTCAATTTAAAAATAAATTCTTTATGATTAATAAATTAAAGGATAAAATATCCTTAGCATTCAATATATGTAAGCCTTATTGTCTCACTTTTCATTTTCTTTTCTTTTTGATGTACAAAACACTATTACTGTGTATGAAAATGTATTTAGTATATTTATTGACACACTCCGAAATTATATAATAATCCGCAAGTGTTTGCTCAAGAATACGTAAATTTCATTTGATTTTTCGCATACGGACGTAACACAATATTTATACTTGCTTATATATTTTCCATATTATAAAATTTTCATAATTTTCCTTTTGGTAATAATAAAAAGACAAGGAACAACAAATAAAAATTTTTTCATTGCAATTCATTCACCTGGAATGCAAATAATAATTGAAGTAAAAAACTTTGTTTTTTCGTTATTGAACAATTCGATGATGACTCTATTGTAGAATAAGAAATATAGAATGCTGATACAAAAAATGTTCACAGTGAAACACTGGAAATAATAAAAGTGAAAAGTTTAATTAAGCAGCACTGTATTTGATTTCAATGGGACTAGATAATTATTTTATAGAAAAAAATATCGGAATTTTAATTTCTAAATTCGAATGAAAACTGAAATAACATTAATTTCCAAGAATTTTAATGAGAATTTGTTCATTCGATAGGATACTGGTGGGACTACCTTTTCTATATCATCTGCATAGAATTTTTTAATAATAAGAAAATAATTTGTTTCAATTTTCACATTTAAATAGTCTTTTAATGACAATTTATTTACATTACTCGCAGTAAAAGATTGTACTTTCAACATAAAGCAAAATTTCGACTATACTGGGTGGGTCAGAACTACTTTTAAGCTCCTCGAAACTGATTCCTTAGAGTTTTTTTTAGAAGGAAACAATTCGTGAAAGAAGGAGGGAGAACTCGGACCATTAAGAATAGTATTGCATGATTATAGAAAATTAAATTCTGCCTGACAAATATCCATAATAGCTTCGAAGCTGTTGACCAACAATACTGTTTTGAATAGAACTTTAGAATAACATAGTTGTATTTACAGATAGATAAATAATTATTTACGTAAATTATTTGCCTTAAAAATCAGAGAAAAAAAAATATAATTTTAAAAAAAGGACATGTAAATTTCATTCCTTTATTTTTTCTTTTCAAAATTTCCTCCATCGAACATTATCATTTAAAATTTAAGACAAATGAAAGTACAAGCTCCAATATTTATGTAGTACTCAATATACCAATGAACACGAAATTTTACATGTAATCTTTTAAATAATAAATAATGTCATTCTCCATAAAACCGGGTAAAAAACAATTGATTTCGTTTTTCAATTTACCGAATAGTTACACTCTGACTTATACTGCTACAGAATGTTTACATATTCCAAAAAAAAAGAAAAAAAATTACTGAATGATTAAAAATCAACAAGAAAAACAACATACCAGTGAAATAAGGTAACCGAAAAACATAATTAAAATTAACAAAGCGGAAATGAGAGCAGAAACAAAATAAATAAAGTTGGGTCAAACCAATGGTTTGTATTGTAGCACTTTTCCCTTCAACAAGTGAAAATTCTGCTTTTAAATACAGTCTATGTATAGCTATCACACTATTAAAATTATTTTCATTCATATACAAAACTATTTCTAGGATTGCATATATTTAGGATGACGCATGTATGCAGTCTTTGAAATAAAGCAAAAATTAATATAAAAAGGGGTTAATATAATGCTCGATTTTAAGGGTTAATTGTGTGAGTTAAGAAAAATAATTATATTTTTTAATTTTACGGAATTTACCGTTAGCTTTTTGCGTTTATAAAAATTTGGAAAAGCTTGCGGTTTCGGAAATATAAGGTGTCAAAAATTCAAATTTTACGAATTTCAAGAGGTAATAACTTGAGAGGGGGTGGAGATGGAAAAAAATTTTCTTCCAACAAAATGAATTATTTATTAATATCTAAAAGCTCCTAAAAGTTCAAGCTTCTACAGTCTGGGGTCTAGAAGAAAAACGACATCAAAAATTTGGAAAAAAAGGACTTTAAATAACGGTAAATTTGAGCGGCCATTTTGTTTTTCTTAAGTTGAACTATAGTATACCGCGCAAGGGGAAGCAAGCCACTGCCTTTCTGCGTTTGCAAAATTTCAAAAATGCTTATGGTTTCATTGCAACAAATATTTAAAAAAGGCCATTTTTAGGGTTTTGGGGGGGTATAACTTCTAGAGGGGGGGAGATAGGTAAAAATTTTGTTCTACGGAAATAAGTTTCTAGTGAAGATCTATGTACGTATTAAATTTCAGCTTTCTATCTTCAAAGGTGTAGAAGTTTTGTAAACAGACACACGGACAGACGGACGGACGGACGGACGGACGGACGGACGGACGGACGGACAGAGTGAAACTAATAAGCACTTTTTTCAAAAAATTTTTTGGAAAAGTGCTAAAAAGAAATTCATTTCTGTTTCCTTAACCAATTTCAGCGCGGATACATAACATAAACACATTTGTATTAACATGCGACACAAAAATTCCATAATCCATTGAAAATTATACAAAATTTATTGGAATACACTGCAAATATTTGCACGTGTATCAGAAATTTTTTTTTTAATTTTTCCTTATACTTGTTTTATAACAATAAATTGCATGGACATGAAATTTTGTTAAAGGTAGAAAATATTGTAAAATTGAGATTTTAAGAGGTTTTGTTCTTAAAATTTGTGTTATACACGCAAGGGTATCTGAATTAATATAAGAGTGTATTTAAGGAAGCGAATTTGTTAATTAAAGTGCCTACATGTGAAAGTAATTTTCTCTTTTTGAATTTCTCGAATTAATTTTTTAAATTTCACTTATGTTAAATTGGTTTATTAAGGAATGTCTTAATACCGGGCCGATTATAAAATAAAAGTTATTATAATTGTTAAAATTGAAATAATCATGGATCTTTTAATTTTCTTCTTACTCAAATTAATGATAATAGAATTATATAATTTATACAATATGAAAAAAAAAAAAATTTCTAAACTTACCCTCCACTAGCTGGTAAATCAACATATAATGGTCTTAATGGTGGACCCATTGGACTACCAAATGGTGGTCCCATTTCTAATAATGTTCTTGCCATAATACGACTCCATGTTTTTGCACCACCCATTATTGCAACAATAAAATAAACAGCATCACTACGTTCCGGAAATATTGGTAATTCATTAATATTTGATAATTGTGGTGATGGTAATTGTTGATTACGTAATAATTTTCTATCTTGATGATGTAATTGCCTTGATAATTTTATTGATGATCCAGGCAATTCTGATGGTAATGATGATGATGATGATTCAGAATTTGATGATGATGTTAAAGATGGTAATGGTACTGATTCTAAAGATAATTTTGATAATTTTGATTTTGAATCACCCCTTTTTTCAAAAGACAAAGTTTCAATACTTGATAAATCTTCAATAGTTTTTTCCACTGAAATATCATCATCATTATATTTCTGTTGTTTAACAGTAGATGGTGATATTGTTGTTGTTGTTGATTTTCTCGTTGTATTAGTATGTTGAATATTATTGATGACATTTTTATTATTATTATTAAAATTACTATTATTATTATTATGATTTTCTTTTAAAATATTTTTTGAAAAAACTTTATTTATAATTTCTCTTTTATCTGTTGTTGTTGTTGTTGTTGTTGTTGATGATGATAATGATGGTGATAATGATGAGAATGTTGATGATAAAGATATTGATGATGATAATAATATAGGTGAATTTGTAGTTGTAGCTGTAGTATTAGCCGTTGTTGATGATAAATTTGATTTTTTAATATCATTTTTATAATTAGAGTATTTTTGGTACTGTTTTAATTTTAATTGTTGTTGTTGCTGATCTTGTTTATTCTCTTGTTGTAAATAAGAAAAATTTTGTTGATTTCTCTCTTTATTTATAAATAATAAAGAACTATTTGTACTAGGTTCAGCTATTGATAATAGTATTAAACTCGTTTGATTTAAAACAAGAAGAATAATTAAAAAGTTTCCATTGGAGAACATTTTTCATTTAATGGTAGCTTTTGAAATCTTATTTTTTTTCTTTAATATTTTTTTTTTTTTAATTTTAAATTTTATTTATTAATTAATTATTTATTTGATATTTATTTATTTAATTTTTTTTTTTCTAATTTTTTAAACCATTTTTCTGATTTTTATTTTAATTTTATTTAATTATTTCAAATATTATTATTTTTTTTAAATTTAATTTTTTTTTTGTTTCTGAATTTAAATGATAAAAATTTTTGGTCATCTACCAAAATTTTTATTAATGTCCATTGCGTCAATTTTCGTATTTGACAGCTGACGCTAATGTAAGCAAAATTTTTTTTAATTTTAATTTTCACTTTTATCGTTCCGTTTCTCTCTCTCTCTCTCTCTTCTCTTTTTCTCTTAAATAAAATTTTTATTTTTAATAAGCATTTTATATTTATTTATAACTGTAATATTACAATATTTTTTCATTAAATGAAATTTTTGAGGTTATAATTTTGGCATTTAAAAAAAAAGAAAATTTTAATATTTTTATGTAGTAGATTTGTTTTCCACTAGACTGTTAACATTAAGTGTTACCACAAATTTGTAATAATTTCAAAAAAATAATGTACAAAATAAATTTTAAAGAAATCGAAATAATTCAACTATTTCACGGGTTTATAAGTAGTTTTTTTTTATTAATACTCGTAATTTACAAAATTATTTAATTACAAAATAAAAAGAAATATTAAATTTTAATTCAATTTAATCTTTTCTATTTCTGTTAACTTTGACTTTGACTAAGTTTTTGCTAAAATTTCAATATTAGATTTTGTAATATTTTATTTCTTAAAATTTAGAAAAAAAAAGCAATTTATTTAAAATTAATTTTATAAATTTTAGTATTGTAAAAAAGTTAACTTTGGCGCGGTATGCAGTTGTTCTTGTCAAAAATGCTAAATTATTTTATTCATAATTTCTTGAAAAACCAAAAAACACTAAATAATAAATAAGAACGTAAAAAATTAATTTTTATTAAACACTTTTATTTTATTTATTTTTATTGAAATAATTATTTAAATAAGAATTAATATTAAAATTTATTCAGCCGTTTTCTATTAAAGTTATCATTTTTACTATTTAAATATAAAATTTTTATCATTTGAAATTAAATTTTTTTATAAAATTTTAAAATATTTTCCATTATTAATTTTATTTTATTTTTTAAAAATATTATAGAAATATTAATTCGTTTCTCTAGTATATTTGCTCTTGTATTCAAATTTCAGCATATTTTTAGGTTCTATTGTATATCTGAAAAATAAAAAAAATTATATTTTATTGTGTTTAGTTAAAATTAAATTAATGCTATTAAATTGCATAAATGTGAGTTTTTTCGATTCGATTACGAAATACTTTTCAACAATGTTTTCACAACCATCTCACAAATTTTATATTGTTGTTGCCAGAAAATGTAAAAAATTTGGTAAATTTATTTCTGTCGTGTTGTAGTCGTAATTCAGAAATAAAAGTAAATTTTCGAAAACCGTGCTATTTTGGCAATTAGTTCAAAACACCAGTAGTAGCCAAAAATAGTTTATAATATCCCGTTGCTCTTCAAAATGAAACTAACAGTGCTATGTCACAAATTATTGAAAGTTTTTTTCAAGTTCTAATTTTTTCTGCAAACATTTTTTTAATCTTAAATTGTGCTGAAAAAAATATTTGGCACAAAAGGTATTCCGATAAATACATAAACATTTTACTGATGTTATAGTCTAGTATGGATGATTTTTATGATAAATGAAGAAGAAAAGCTGTTATAAACTGCGAGAAGTTAATATATTAAGAGATAAATATCAAGTGTGATAATGACTGATAGCTACCCATAAAAAAATGATTTGAGTTTAAAATATTTTTTTTTTTAAACTCACCTTCAACACAGCTCTGTGATGCTCTGATGCCTGAAAAGGCCTAACATAGACAATAAAAATTAAAATGCCTTTTAAAATTTCTGATACTAAAATAGTGTTGATCGAAAAAAAATGCAGTCGGATTTTTTAAAATACTTCATAATTGCATTGTAATATTTTTGTCAAATTAAATTTTACTACTAATGAATATTTGTTACAACTACTATTCATTTCGAATAATTTTCCATTTCACTTAAAAAAGTAAATATTAATCAAAATAATTGCAAGAACGTCAAGATGTAATCAATAATCTTAATTATTTTATTTTACCACAATCTTAAACTAAAAAGTTTATTTTTATTTTTTTATCAAAATTTCTCGAGAATTTCATTCAAATAAAGCCTTCGTCCTTCTTATACAACATTTACATATAATTAAAAATCCTTGAAATACAAATATATTTTATTCGAAAATTAAATAAGAATATATATATATAATATATATATATAATTTTGTTTTTGCGGTTTTATCTTATTTAAATTTAATTTCTAATTTTTATTTAAGAAAAATATTTTAATTTAAATTTAATTTGAATAGTGTTTTAAGACCATATTTATTAAGAAGAAAAACACAAGTAATTTCAAAAAATTTAATTTCTCGTATTTAAAATGAAGAACTTGAGGAAGTTGAAGAAGAAGAAGAAGAAGAAGAAGTTTTAAATTAAAAATAAATTTCACTTTGAAAAAAGTTATAAGCAATTAAATACTTAAGAAATTCTTTAATAAATTTTCATAATTTTATAGGAGGATTTAACGAAATGTTTTGAAGTTTTGAGATCTTAAAGTGTGTATATGATGGGGAAAAAATTTTTCACAAAATGAAAATAACTGGAAAAGACAAACTGTTACAGCAGAGAAATCAAAAATTTATAATTTTTTTTTTGTTTAGGATTTGGAAGGACATTAAAATATTGTAAGGACAATCGTTTTTTTTTGATACGCGATATTTTGTTTTTGATATTAGAAAATAAGGTCAGAAAAAAATGTCAAAAATCGCAAAAATATTTTTTGTTTTAAAATTTTGACACAAGATGGATGGAATACTGGTCTTGTTATGCATTTTCCTATTTCTCTTCATTCATATTTCTGATATGAGCAACTTAGAACAAAAATTTCTCTTTGAAAAATATGGGACAACTAAAAATAAGTCATTTGATTGTGTCTTATGTAAATTTAGCTGTATATTTTTTTCTAAAATTAGATTTGGAACTTTAAATTTCTAATTTACTCCATGAAATATTTGGCTATAGTATTTAAAAATCATAATTAGAAAAGAGTTACAATTCAAGGAAATCATTAATTTTCAATTTTTCTTCTTTAATCTTCAGAAACAAATTTCAAAAACTTCCAATTGAGTGCATTGTTGAAAATGATGTCTTTGTTATAAAAATTTTCAATATATATAAACTTAATAAATTTTAGTCATATTCCTGGAATTTCAGTTGATTCTATTGAGACAACTACGAGTACATAACTTGAAAATCTTAGTAAATAATTTCAATTATAATTTTTGGGCTCAATTAAATCAATTTTATATTTAATTGTAAATAATCTTTTGGCGATCTAATTTTAATTAATTTCAAATAAAATTGAAAACCCCCTTACATAGTATACTACAATTGGTATTCTTTAAAATCAAAATTAAATATTTAGCTAGTAATCAAGTTTTTCATTACTCACTGATTAAATTTCCTTTCCCTATTTTCATTTTCGGTCAAAATTTTTAATTCATACAACCGAATTTAACAATATTCTTTTATTATAATCAGTTGTTGTTAAAATTCGATTATTTAATTTCTGTTATATTAAATAAGGATAACCTCAAAATTTCTCTAAATTCTTCTTCTTCAAAAACACAAAAAAAAAGGGAATAACAAAATTTATTTAAGAATTAAATTGGAAAAAAAAAAGGATTATCATCACCGTTTTAGAAAATCTCTTAGAGGGCTTTCAACACACAAAAAAATAAACAACATTTTCTTATGGGTATACAAAAACAAACCAATTATTCACTAAAAATATTTACTCATTAAATTAAATTTACAAAAAAAAAACAAGAAAAACAGGAAAAACAAGAAAAACGTTCATAATAAATAAAAAGCAACACAGTTAAATCTTTTCGGATTTTATCCTTTAATAAGAAAACAAAAAAAAAAAACGAAGGAAAACAGGAAAATATTTTTACAGTTTTATAAAAAAAAATTAAAGAAAATGATATTAAATGAAAAGCAAGTAGCGTCAACTTCAAAAAACAAAAAAATTAAAAATGCCTAAGAAACAAAGTAATTAAGGAGTAAAATGAAAGCGCTGCTATGAAAAATCAAAAAATGAAACCAGTAGTGATCCTTAAAATTATCCTTTAATACAAAAAATAAAGATTTTTATTATAATTTTGTTTTTTTTCTTCGCGAAAATTTTAAGAAAAGACGAAAAGGCAAAAAACATGGAAAATAAATAAAAACTGAAAAAAAAAAAACAAATTTGAAGGAAATGATAAGGAAAATTGCATGCGGATTTCAAATTTTCATTTATTCTCTAAATTCTTTAATTTCTTTGTCATTTCACTCGTTTCCGAATTTCAACGGATTTCAGTGAAAAATAAAATTTATTTGATTATTCGTTTTTTGTTTTGTCTTAAATGGAATTTATTTTAAGGATTTTAGTGCTTTCTTTATGTACAATAATTAAGTAAAAACGAAATGTGAAAGAAATTGATTCACTAAGAAAATCTGAAGAGGATAAAAGGAATCTGTTTGGTTAACATAATAAATGTGCCGTTTTGCTACCATTACCCTACGGTTACCTGTTATTGGCTGTACGATTGCAGGTTTAATATTTAAATAACTAAGTTCTCTTGAAGAATCTAACCAAATTCCCAATGCTAATTTTCGATGTCTCTTCCAAATCTACTGAACTTGCTTTACCCCAAGTGACCATTCTCTGATCCCAGTTAGACTGGAATATTCGTAGAGAAAGTGAAAAATAGTCCCTTTCTTGTCTATTTCCAATAGTCTAACCGTACATTCCATCAAATTGTTCGTTGTGTAACGTGTAAGGCTTTGCACCTGCCATCGGCGCATAATAGATAATGTCCGTATTGATGGGAATATGAAGCCGTTTCATTATGGAAAAATCTGTGACTGAGCCACCTCTAGCCATCTCATCTGTCCGTTTATTTACTGCTATATTATAATGGCCCATAAAAGTGTACCACAACCGTGAATGCATACTTCCGTCAACTTGCAAGAGCCTTGACTGCTTCCAGTCTACTGTTATTAAGTGATGTTGGAGTTTTCATTATCAAATTAATTAAAATTTAAAAAAAAATTTTTGGTGGAAAAATTTATGTAAAATCAAATTATTTTTGCATTTCTCAAAGAGTGTTTGGATGCACTAAAATTTCGATAAAATTTTAGCAAATTAAATTTTGCTTCAATAGCCGAAAATATATAATTTCATTTCCATATGTTCAAATAACTTAAGAGGATAAAATAGTTTCTTAACAAAAAATTTAACAGACACTTGTTAAAACAATTCCAATCTTGCATATTATTTGTACCTACCTTATTTAATATAGGAAAATCCTTTACTATTTGACATGAGACTTGAAAATAAAACAAAATAACTAAAAGTGACTAACCACTTCTCATATTTCTTTTTATAGTGTTACAAATGATCTGCTCCCCCATTAAAAATAATCTATATATTCTCCATTTAACTTTTCTAAAATAAATTTTTTTCAGTAAAACATTACTCAGGTAACAAAATCGGATGGAAAATAAGATTTCAAGGAAAATTTATTAACAAAATGAAAAATAAAAAAAAAAACAAAATGAACAAAAATTATTTAATTTTTTTTTTCTTTTACTTTTTCTGTTCATTGTTTCGTTAAATATCCTGGACTACTTCATGAGAAAAGTTAATCTTTCTGGAAAAATTTTCAAAAAAAAAAAAAAATAAAAGTTTGGATTTTTAAAAAATAAAATATGCATAGAAATAACAATAATAGGGAAACAATAGGAAATGTGAACAGGATGTAAAACAGGATTCAAATAAGAATAATAGAAAAGAGAGTAGATTAAATTGTTAAGCTCTTATTTTTTAACACAAAAACTTTTATGCATTTAATGATAAACTTGAAAACAAAAAAAAAATTTATATGTTTTTGTATATTGGAAATTTCCTTTTCTAAATAGATCATTGAGAGCAGTTAAATTCTTAATGATTTATTTGAAAATTAATTTATTAACGCTGATAAAGAGCATTGTATGCAGTTAGTATTTATAAATCTAAAGGAATGTAAAAATGCTACATGTTGAAGAATTGTTGTCGTTTGGATAAA